CAAATATGGAGATTTTCAGACCAATTACTCGATTGATATTTCCAACAGCTGATGACGAACTTCTCCATTACTTGGAGGAAGAAAATCAGCTGATCGAACCGGAATGGTAACTTGTTTTATTGTTTGACTCTACAGTAATTGTTGTTCTGTATTGATTGAAATTCACCAAGGATAGTGTTCAGGTACTGCCCAATAATTCCAATGATTCTGATAAACGGGGCGGAAGGCATAGCTACCGGATGGTCGACACGCGTCCTAAGTCATGACATTAATAAAGTGATCGACAATGTTCGAAGGTTAATCGAAGGAGAGAAATTTGAGAAAATGGTAGGTCCCTGCCGCATTTTTTTTATTAAAAGCAAGGCCGTGAACTGTCCTTCTATTATAGACACCGTCGTTCTCGGATTTCTCTGGAAGCGTGCAAGAAATCGAGGAGAATAGATTCGAAATTCGTGGAAAATTCTCATTTCCACCGTCACAACGCAAGAACGCCTCAAATCTTTGGTAAGGTTACGGTTTTCATTGATTCCACTGAAAAGCATTCGATAGGGGGGAGGGGTCCCTATTGTGGCTGGCAATGCAAAGTGACACAAGCCCAGAAAACGGGGCTCTTCACAGTTCGAATTGAGCCATGAATTTAGACATACGACCTACTCTCCCATACTCGACAGAAATTTTTTACGTTCTCTAGTACCCATTTCATATCCCTTACAGAGAGACAGCGTTGTTCATTAGTAAGGGTAGTAGCTCAGAATTTGGGAACTCTTTCTTCGCTGACTTTCTCCCTATAGGCGCAGCTCTACTTGTGTGTATAACTGCGGATGTTTACTGTGTATTAATGTTTGCTTGACATTCTTCAAAGATGTGCAAAAAGACTTCATTAAAATTTCAGTTTTGCTACCCCATCGCACACCCATAGACCCGGGCTTAAATCCCGGATCGATATTCGCCCAGACCAACCAAGCTTTCCTCATCCCTCCGGGGCCGCCTAGCTGGTACCAGAATTGCCAGAAAGGATAGAAAACGCTGATTTGTACATCGGCTGGCCACCACAAGTCATTGTATAGGCTGCATACGCATTCAGTACGCCACACCGATTTTGAATAGAAATCGAATGCGTGAGCGCATTCCTCAGATGAGTTTGATTAACGCCCCCGGACTTCATCTTTCTAGGGAAGGCAGTAGTTACTTACAAACCATTGAGTAAATAATTAAAACAATTGATTAAATGGCGTCACTATTGAATTTCAGCCTCGAAATCGTCGAACTGCCTGTAGGTGAATGGACGAACAGATACAAGCAAAATATACTCCATCCGCTACAGACGAAGGGACTGATCAGGTTGGCTTTCGATTCGGAACTTGTTCCGCTTGAGTTTCTGGCTGCCTTTTCCACCGTAGCCACCCATAGTTTCTTATAGAAGTTTATGATCGCCTCTTTTAGAGTGGGAGATTCTGACAAAGGGCTCTCTTAATAAGTTGAGGGCTGATTGTTTGATATTACAGCGGTTTCAAAGAGTACCATACGGAGAGGCAAGTACGATTCGTTGTAGAGCTAAGTAAGGAGTTCTCCATAAGATGCCGTCGTCCAGCCGGTCGGTATGGGGACTTGATGAAAATCTTCAAACTGTCATCAGTTGTTTCAACTAATTCTATGGTCAGTTCAGTTATACAGTTTGCATTAGCAGTAGAAAATAGCTGTAAGTAGTGATTTGTAGGAAGAAAAATCCTTACCCATACTTTCAGGTATTGTTTGATTCACTGGGTCATTTAAAGCACTACACAACAGTCTCCGACATTATGAAAGAGCATTTTCAAGTTCGCCGACAGAAATATGAGGAGAGAAAGGAATACGAGACGAAAATGCTCGACGCGCAACTGCGACGTTCTGAGAATCAGGTAATTTCAAAGAGATTTTAAGATTTGTATTATGCCACCAGCGACTAATTTCCTATCTCAAGTGGGGGATTTACGCTAAGACCACCTGAACGCAGTAAGTATTTTAGTGATTATTCTGTAGATCTGCCATTTTCGATAACTGAAATGTAGGAGTCCTACAAGACGTGAAAGATTTGACATATTTCTTTAATTCTTCAGTTTATTGGCTTTATCTTTAGTAGTCTTTACCTCCTGCACAGGTTTTTGCCAATTTCTATACCGTCACCTTCCCTACTGATCATTTCCAATCATCTCTGTTGGAGAACGCTTAGATTTGGTGACCCTGCTCTTTCAAATCCGCTGTTAGACTCCTTCGGTAGCACTAACTTCCCATAAAAAAAATCAAACAGAAATATAAAAGGCAGGAAAAAACTCGGGTAGTGGTTAATCTTCATTCAAAAGCAATAGATTTATACAATATAAAGTGGAATTTAGCCGCTTTGCTTTATCTTCGTTGTAAAATAGCATTCATTTCATAAAATTTGCAATAATATAGAAAATCCTAAAATAACATTTACCCGTCTTATAAGCAATAAGTTAGGCGAACAGCATAGCTATGAGGCGGAATCGTCAACGACAGGCGAAGGATCATCCATCATAGCCAGTGCAGTACGAAGATTTACACTACCGTCTTTTTCCTTTTCGACACTGTCAACAGAAAATTCACTCTTGCATTCCTGCAACGGCTTTGTTTCCCATTCTTCTTTACCTTCGTCGTTTATCTGAAAAAAAGTGAAGTGTAGAAAAGCAACAACCTTTTCTTCCCCTCTCAACTTACAATGATGTAATTTTGGTCGGGAATCTGTTGTGCATTCTTTCTGATCACTTGCGCGAGACCAGGAACCCTTTGAAGGACGAGATCGGCATCTACACCTATCGCACCAGCGATTTCATTGGCTTTTATCATCATTGCGGCATTCATTTGCGATATCAACTCATGCTGGTTATTCCTTACACATAGTTCCATCAGCTCATTTACGAACCTATTAATCTGAAAACAATACAATATCGAAAACTTAACATCGATCTTTTCGATAAGGTACCTCTTGAAATGTTTGGAAAGCTTCTATGGCAGCTGTATCGACTCGCTGCATTGTCTGGAAGAATGTCATAGCGTTAACTGGTGCCGGGTCGCCATCGTCTGTCAAGTCAATCACTTCTTGAACGTGAACGTCGACATTATCTACAAATCGTAGCCCCAATTAGCGATGAAGGCTACTGACGCGATAATCTGTATAAAATTTTTGGCTGTAGTGGCTAGTGACGCCCTTCCACACACGCAAGATCTGGGAATCTAATTTCATGGACATCCTCCTAAGCCAACTGAACCCTCTATCCCTCCGACGTCCGTTAGTGGGTATCAGACTAGTTTGGGCACACACGCACGCATTGAAAAGGCCACAACGATTCTGAATCGGAGTCGAATGCGGGAGTGGGGGAGGGGGCATATAAAAATGGTACTGATTAACGCCAAAAATTGTATACCCAACTTTACATGTTTCAGAAATTTTCAAAGAAGTTGCAAAGTGCAGTTGGTATACCTGTCGGTAAGACTTCCTCGTTTCGGCTGGCCGGAACCGCAGCTTGATTAGCTTCTGCTGCAGCTAATCGCTTAGCTGTACGGTACCTCCGTTGAACGAGTCCATGACGATGCGCCATACGCCTTAATATCCACAGGTTTTCACATCCAAATAAATTGAGCTAGACTATGGGTAGAGAAACTAGTTTTTTTCGACCTTCCCCATAGTACTAATGGTTGATGGTTTTCCAGCAATAAACAACGCTCTTGCACATGATAACCTCTAGTTAAAGCTTATTACGCTCTTTTTCCCATTGCGAAGGGACTCCAGAAACGACTAAGAGAAACTGTGCACAAAGCTATAGTCAAGTTTTGAGGTAAGCGATAGTACTGGAGCACAAGAGACGAAGAACTAAAAAGACTCCGGGGACATGCTGTAAAAACTGCTTGTTGATTCCCACGCTCAGGCGCAGTCGAGATTTTCGACGCGCGCGTAGCGTAAGGCGTGACTTTTTCTATTGGAGCGCTGAAAGTATGCTTCATAAGTTACAGAGTCACTTCTTTTTACTCCGTTTATGCTTTTCTATTTGTAGCCGCATGTTGCTGCTAAGTGAGCACATAGTTGGAGGGACCATTTTTCTTTCGACTCTTGTCTGCACACTCTCGAAAGAGAGTAACCTGTTGGAAATGTACTCCTTCACTCCAGATTTGGCAAGGAATCACTATCTCACTTCCTGTGAGATAGTGATTCCTACTGTGTCCTTCCCTACTCATACCTGAGAGGGTACTTCTTGCCTGAGCTTCGGATTGTTTCTAAGCACACTTCAGGCTCGCAAAATTGGCACCTTATTGTTCTGCGGGTGTAGCTGTTAGCTTTATTGACACAAAGCTTAGTGGAGTGGCCATCCCCAGCCAAGTTTCTTTCTGCTGCTATATAAACCCAGGAATAAAAACCAGCGAAAAACAAACAAGGAGAGGGAGTAGAGCATTTACTCGTGAGTAGAAAAAGAAACATTATTCCTAGCTAAAGGGGGACTGCTAAGAGATGGTCGTCGGGCAAAAAGCTTATGCTTAGTATGTGTGACACGTGCTACCGCCGAGGCCCATTAATCATAAGTTATGTGTGCTCAAGTAAAACGAGGAAATATCTACCCACCATATGTCCTTAGGCTCGACATAGCAGATACGTGCTTGCTTATCGGAACCTAACGAGTGATCCCACCTCTCTCGACGTATTTTTGCCACAATCTGCAACGGGATTTTATGTTCTTCTCGGTTGAATAGCCTTGAAAGCCCACCTCATATGCATGTAAGCCCCGCCTCAGCATCCTCAGAATTTCTTCCTGGTCAGTTTTTGGAATCCGTAGAGCGGATGCACACACCACATGACCGAGATGACCGATGCAGCCCTCGTAAGTGACACTTCCATCAGCATTCTCACACACCTATACCAGTGTGCTTTATGAAAATTAGAAAAATGGCCTGAAGAACTACGTTTACTTAGTAACGTGTCTTATTGCAAGCCTAATCATATCATAAGATTGCCCAAGAACTCACCCGAAGAAACGCTGGACAATGGGAGAGGATCCGTTTGCTATGCTTCGTTTTTTCCTCCGTGGCTGGTGGCTGAACATCCGATTTTTCATTTGATGCTGGTGAAAGAATGGTAGGTTTCTCGTCCGGTTCTGCTGATTGGATGTCCTGTTTCCCCTCTGTGGCCGCTGGCAGATCGTTCAGTTTCTCTTCCGCTGCTGGAGACTGGGTGTTCGTCCTCTCTTCCGCCTTTGTTGACGCCATTACCTTTCCTCGGGCATGTTTACAAACAAATACATGCCGTCGACCGCCATCTTTACAATGTACAGAATATCGTTTTGAGAAGTTGGTCAGTGACGAACTCTCCAGCGAATCTTTCCAGTCCTTAAATGAAATCATTACTTTTTGGATTTCTTTTTACTTCTCTTTAAAACAAAAAAATTAGAGGGTACAGCCCGTATGCCTTCACTTTCAAGGCCTCTCGCAATTTGCACGATAAGGGACTCAAAACGCACTTAGCTAATAGAATTATTTACACTCAGCATGAAAGAAAATCAAGTCGGGACCGTCTCACAACTCTACAGTATCCCATTCCATAATGACAGCAAAAAATTTTACCTCAAATGCTAGAAAACAATCGAATCGTCCAGTAATAATGGAAAAGTCCTGCGTAGCTGGCTTCGTTGTATGCCAATCGTTGCAGTGTTTGGCTAAGTCTCGGTAGGTATGGAACCTTTGACCGCATTCTGGGCAAATCACGTTGGACGAAGTCTTCCCACTTGGATGAACCTTCTGAACTACATAAATTAAGGAGCTCCGTAGGATATGTAGAACTGGATTTAACTGTAACCATACCAGTTTATGATGTCTCAATGAATGCATAGTGCTATAAATTCGATCGCATACATCACAATGAAGATTTCCTTTTTTAGCTCTGATTCGAAGTTTTTCTCCATTTATTTGGGTTTCACTCCAAGAATGAGATCTACGCAGATGATCATACAGATGGCTTAAAACTAACGGACCATGTCCACAAACTATACACGCTTCAGTAGTGCGCATCTGAACAAACTGAATAGTCGGAAGAATTTTTGTAAGTGCGAGTAATAAAAATGTGCGATTAGTCTACAATACAAAGTAAACAGATGCATAAAACCTTTTAGATTGATGTAAAGGGAAATTCATTATGTATGCAGATGCTAATCCATTCAAGCAAGCGTATTTTGACGCGTTTGCTCTGCAATTGCAGAAATCTGCGCGCTTGATTTTCAATTTTTGTTGGTTGCTTTTAGTGTGGCTTGGTTTTTGCTCAGTTGTTGTCCCTTTTACCATTTTAAATGCTTCACAAAAACTATTTTGCGATTAGGGCTATTCAGTTCATCGATATTTTTCATGATCGTTTGGCTTCAGAATTCACATGACGTTTTTTCCGCAAACCTCCCTTTTTAGTTACGATTTGTGGAAGCAACCATTTCTGGTGATGTTCGACCTCATGGAAAACACTTATCTGAGCTCGAAAGTGACATGCGATCTATGGGATTTGAAGACGATCCAGTAAAATCATGGAAAAATGAGGTGCTATGAAGTTTCTGTTTATTTTCACCAATACTTTTTATTTTTGGTCGAGTTAAAAAGGAAAATTCCCTAATAAAAACAGCACGCTGTTTTCATGGCGTTCCATAAATTTTGGCTGACTTCCTGACGTTATCATTTTTGAATACTTTTTCAGGAAGCGAATTTATCATATCTGATGAATATGCCGTTGAGTCGTTTGACGATAGAAGAAGTGGAGAAACTCCAAAATCAGGTCCAAAGTAATCGTGATAAGCTGAATAAAGTAACGCAAACGTCATGGCAGGATTCTTGGCTAGCCGACTTGCAAGCTTTGGAAAAAGTGAGGATTCTAGAATTTTTTTCAAAGGGATTTAGCAATTTCCAAGGATTTTATTCCATCAATGTAGTGATTATTTCAGGAAGCGAAACATTCGTTACGATACGACTCCAAGTGAACAGCTACTACGTCTTCTTCGTAGAGAAGTTTTTTTCTCGAGGTTAAACTTTATCGGATGACTTTTACTGTTTTGGTTGTATTGGGAGCTGAATCTGTCCTCAGTAAGCGGGAGATGGTAATGGGCGTTTACTAGATTGGCCACGCGCACATGCTCATATTCATGAATGGTGTTATCCAATTAAGAACGAATATTTCAATGAAAGTTCATCATCCGCTACCAGGCAGGGTGGAATATCTTCCCAAGGTGCATTCTCAAATTACTTGTTATCTGGCGTATGCTGGCGTTTCTCTCATTTCTGCTGTGTCTCACTTATTACACGTTTTTCTTATTTTTGTGGAATTATTCGCATGTTGTCAAGTGTTCTCAAGTACTGATAAGGCCTCTTAATCATTTGATTTCAAGTGTCATTTTTTATGGTGATCTCATCCTTCATGATGTATAGCTTCACTTTTCTGGTGCATTATGAATAGCTTTAATAAAGATTTCTATTGTAATTGGTTAAATGTTCGTGAACAACAGTGTCGTCGAAGTCAACGATGGGATATTCTCGGAATTTTGTTCATACATAGTAGTGGTTTTGTTTTGTTCATGTTGTTTATGTCTGACCAGGATGAGTGAAGAAGGAGATCGCACGTGTTATGTTTGTAATTTCATCCCGGAAGTAACAAGTGATCTGTTGGAAGAGCTTTTTACTCAGGTATGCATTCAAAACGTTTCAAGGAAATTTTTATTTTTTATTTTTTTGTGTATGAAGTATCGGATATTTTTACGCCCATCTGGCTGTAAAATATACATTCCGATGACTGCGGACCGCTACAGATCTGTTGAGAGAATATTCATTTTTCATTATGTGTCGCAGTCTTTATTTCATCCCTGAGCTGTCGAAGAGTTGGAGTTATTCATTGTTATTAAGTTATTAGCAACAACTTTTGATTGCTGCTGATTGCAGTTCAATTTCTCTATTTCCTTTGTGTTTTAATTCCTCATCCACTGCGAAATCAAGAGAGTTACGTCACTGCAATTCCAGCCTACTCGTTTTCTTTTGACTTTATTTTTATTTTCAACCACTATGAGCTCTTTTCTCTTCAATATCGTAGACATTTTCTTCATTATTTCTGATCCTCAGATTTTGTTTCATTGTTTTTCTGGAAAAATAGAAAAGTAATACTTCCATTCTTTCATGCTGCTGCATTTTTGTTGGAATTTCTGCCTCGTCGTTATAAACAAGGACGACGCTTGACGGGCTCAACTCAAAATTGTGGTTTAACAAATTCTTAAATGGTGTTGACAAGAAATACATTCATTACCTGAGCGGTCTTGGTTAGCCAGCCCATAATCCTTAGTACTTGCTTATTTGTTTAATGCTTTTAGTATTTGCTCTGTACATTCAGTTGCTACTTGCCGTCGTTATGGCACTTTTCTTCTCTTTTCCGATTCTCCTTCACTTTGCTCGATAACCAGAAGTTACTGTGATCAATGTTTCCAACAACGGAGCTTTCCGCTTTGCAACCGTTAGCATAGCTACGCGAATTTCATTAGTCTCACAACGATCAATATAATGTGTCATTATCAATATGAACATTCATTGCGACCCCTCCTCTTCCTCGACTTTCTTTTCCTTGAATACAATCCTTACTGTACATTCATACTTTTCCTTACTCTGGAGATATATGCCATCCCCATTTATCGGGTGAGCCAACCACCAGAAATAAAATGAAGAGCTTCGGAACTTGCTTACTCTGGAAATATGACCGCGAAGGAACGAAAAGGTCGAACAAATAATTTAGTGCGCCCGCAATACCATTTATTCTTTCTGAATTTGCTGACTGAACTGTCAAGGATCACATGGGAGATGCCCAAACGGCACTGGGACTCTCATCTTAGTCTCAAACCCATATTTGCTCTCCTTCATTCTTGTGGTTCCTCGATTTTTCCAGTCAATGCATACCATTCCTGGTAGCAGAATGGATTTTGGATTTGGATTTCGATTTTATGTACAAAGTCTTTACGGATACGAACAAGTTTCACGGGTTACGGTAGGCATAAGGCGTACTATTCAAGCCCTGAGAATGTATAAAATTTTTTCAGAAATGAGAATTGTAGCGTTAGATCGGGCACATATACATTATTTATTAACAATTATGTATATTTATATATATATATAACTGTATGTATATAACTGATGGTCTTTGGAAGAGTTTTTCATCTGTATGCAAATGAAACTTTCAAGAGCCACGTTGTCTGAATACATCTGATATGTTAATTATTCACAGCCTGGGATCCATAGCTGAGTGCTGTAACAATATGAAACTTGAATCATGTCATTGCAAATGCTGCAGTGTCTATTAGCTTTATTTTCTCCAGAAATCAGTCATCGGCCTGTTGTATTTTCCCACACAGTCTGCTAGTTAAATAGAACCTGTTAGCTGAGTATTAGAAAAACTTGTTCCGTATTTGAAAAAACGGGTTTTCGTTGTTCCGTCTGGTTTTATAAATGAGTAATACGGGCGGTGGTAGTAATGTCGCCAGAGCTCAAAAAGCTTCAGTTATTCTCTGTTTCTCTCTTTTCTTCTTTTTCATTCTCCACTCACCCGAACTTTCATTTGTTTTGCTTCCACTATTTTTTTGACTACGAGGCGGCTTCTGGTTACATTCCATTTGTTTTCTTTGCATTGATTGAGCGAAGCTCTCATTTTATTCGGATTCATTCCCTGAGCCTGAAGGGTCGCAGCTTCAATAAGGATTGCTTTGTTTTTATTTGTACTTTTTGCTATTGCCTGCGCTCTTTCGAATCCTGTCTGTTTGGCAGCCTCTCCCGTGAACGGCAGTGATGCATTTCTGTTGACACCTTAATGCGTTGCCGCTAGGCAAACTTTAAAAAAACAATATACTTATACGAAATGTATAATACTTTACAAGTTGTGACCCCTCCTGCCCTGATATCAGTTTTGAACTGAGCCAAATCATCATATTGTAGCGATAGATCAAGAGTTCAAAGGGCAGGACCAGTTTGTTTATGCGAAAACTTTATGAAGAGCTGCACAGTTTTCTAACGGATTTCCAAGAAAAAAAAGACCGCTCCTTCAGACTTGTAGTAGCCACTTTGGTGGTAGTTCGTAATGTTGGCTTTATAGGTTGGTCCAGTTGAAAAACTATCACTAACTGAAAGGAATTCCCATCGTTTTGCTATGGTAACATTTGAAGATGAGGAAAGTGTACCATTTGCTGTCGAGACATTGGATGGCATCAAGTTGTTTCAAATACCGCTAACCGTCAAGCCACGCAGTGGTTCGAAACATGTGAGTGACCTTTTACAACGTTACATTTTATTCATTTAGCAAAGGTGTTACATTCGCTCTCGAAAAAGTGTTACTCTGACTTTCCTTCTTTTTTTCATACCCTCGTGTATTAAATAATCAGACCAACGATACAGCTATTTATTGCTGCTGTTTTTAATTACTTCCGAGTTTTTTTTCCCATTATCTTTGTGAGGAGAGCTTCGCTGATTGTGGAGCTACACCGTGGTCTAGCAGTAGCTCAGGAGGACCTAGGGACCGTTCTTCTTTGTTTGTATGTATTAACTAAAATCATGCTCAAAGAGGTAAACAGGGTGATAGGCAGTACCTCGGTAGGATCGAAAAAAGCTCGATACAGATATATCATCAATCCGGGACTATGTATTTTTTTTTGTTTTAGGACAAAAGGAATTCGGATTATGGAGGAAAACGCGACTCGTACGGGAGCACTCATTCATCACCACATTCTGAATCTCGTAAAAGAGATTACATGGGGTGAGTTTCGTTACACGACGATTGAAAAAGGTCACGAAACTACTTGTAGTTGCCTATCCATGACAAAATAAAATTTGTTTTTTTCGTGAAGTAGTTCTGTAATATTTCCTAAATCGGTTATTTCAGGAGAGCTATGAGCTATGATGAACGCATGAGTCACAGCTACAGCGGTTGTGAGTTTTAATTCAATTTCCATTGAGGCCACTGTATTTTCAGGTTGAAGGGTGCCTATTGATGCTCATACTTTTATTTTAAGCAAGGCAAGATAAAAGCTCTATGTTTACTCCACCTATACCACCGCCACCCCCGCCTCCTCCACAACATTCAGAGTCCTATCCAAGGCTAGGAAATTGATTCTTCTGTGTCAAATCCATGCGCGAATTATTCATTTATGTTTATAATTGTTTAGCTTGAAAACTCGTACGATATCACGTGATCAAGAGTGTAGTACTCCGAAGTCGAGCTTCACTGGAAGGTTGTTTACACTTTGTTTGTTTTTTTTTTGAACACTTCTATCTATTTCTATCTTTTTTGAGATTGAACCACTGTTTTTTGTAGACCTGGTGGTGATCAAAGGCGCACTTTTCCATCAAAGCCATCGGATAGCAGGGTTTTCGACAGCGAATCGTGAGTGAACTACTCTTATCAAATATTTTAATCGACGATGACTTCAATTCTTCGGAGAGAAACCTTGTTTTTATAGTCGGAAAGGCCTTGGCAGATGGCTTACAAATTTGTAATTCGGTCTAAATGAGGTGGATGAAAATGTTGCACAAAAACACGTGTAGGCAATTTTCTTTTGGATAAATGATCTCTCTGTGGTCGACTGGACGGCAGTCATCCACGGAACTGGCTGTTTTTTTGGGTTCTTGTTTTTTGTTCCCTTTACATACGTGGGGGCAAATTTTATCCAGTTTTATTTTATTTTTCTTGTGGCAACGTGCGCGCTGTTGGCGGAAGCCGAGGGTTGTCTGGGTTTTAGACGGCTGTCTTTCAATCTGAGCACTGAATAACGTCGGTGAATCTTCCCTTGGACGTCAGCGCTGCCTTTTTCGAGCGGCTTTCATTTCAATCTGAGCCCAGAAAATTTCTTCAATATTCCATCCACCTTGAGTGATGCTTGTAATAAGCTTTTTTCTGGAAATCCCCTTTCTCGTATGAATGATATATCGCCTCCATTGAGACATTGGATCTAGTGAACACAGTCAAATGCATTCTTAAAGAGCTCAAATTAGTGCTATTTTGTCCTCCTGCGCTGCGGAAGTCTGGTACAGATCAATCGTTTAATAGAGATGGCCCCATGGGCGGAGCTAGATTTATTAGCTAGGGTTACCGTGGTTCCTGCAGTGATGCTGTTCATTCAGATTCCACTTCAATTATCAAAACAACAATTTCTTTTAATTTTCCCCGTAATATATTAAGTTAGGATGAGATACTATAGTAAAGTGGAAAGTGATGCCTATTACATACGCATGGTTAATATATCGAATCCCGATTTGATCATCTCTCCGGGGTGGGTCGATTGGACCAAGCTCGTATAGGAGGATAAGAGCACTGACTTGAACATTGACTGGCTATACCAAATCATCGTGTAATATACGCATTTGAAACCCACTACGACTCCGAATTAAAGTCGAGTGCGAGGCGCAATCCAGAAAGGATTGGCGAACGCTAAAAACTTTTCCTCGTACCAGTTGCATGCATCAGCGCCCCTGTCTTTTCGTGGCTAAACCAGCAATCAGCAGGAACGCTTTCTGACTGCAATATCTTTTTTTTATAGAAATGGCTTCGACAGATTCCATGGTAGTGGCCGAGGTGGGCATTCAGGATATTCCAGAAGACAGGACAGCTATTCAGGCCATAGATGGTGACGACTGGTAAAATTTTCATCGTAAGAGTTATTGTTTTATTTATATTTCGTTGTCTGATCGATATCCTAACAAGGTGAATATAATTTGTTTAATTGTTCCATTTACCATTGTGCAACTCATGTTGTTAAGACTCTTTACGATCGTGATTTATGAGATGGCAACAAAGGCCCTCATGGCAAGCCTTCTTGGGCCTGTAGGTGTTCCCTTCCGGAACTGTTTCTTGATAGTTATTTCTCTGATTGTTTGACGTACGGAAATCCTTCAGTGAGCATATCTCGGCTAGTTTTCCTTCGGAATTGATTAGAATTTTACGTCTTATCAAGCATCATACAGAATTGAAGACGGACTGGCACTAATCTCTAGTAATGACTACACAGGTCAGTAATCAACTCTTCAGAGCCGCTTGAATGCGGAAATTTTTGAGACGCTCTGATGGTACCAAATGTTTACACTTGATCACCGATTTTTTTTCGGATTCGTTATATATGATAATCGATGTTATTGCCGGCAAAGCGGTGATTGTGATTTTGTTTTTACTTTTATCCTCCCTTTGCAAACGATTCTCATGTCCGTACTCGAAGATGGTTTATTTATTTTTCTTCGTTTAAGTTGTTTCGCTTCATTTTCATTTCTTTTTGATAGTTCAGTCTGATCGTTTTAGCAGATGCCCTACCATACAAGTATCTGCTACCAATTTTTCATTTGAATCGGTTGTTTCTCGTGACAATTTCTGCCTCCGAGGGTTATCGTTACATCAATAGCAGCATTTCGCCGCCCTGTAATGACTCATTGATAACAGGTCTCCTCGTTACGTCACCTCACCTTCTCTCGATTTTATCGTCAAATATTATTGCGAATCGATATTATTGATCGGAAAGTTGTGTTATTGATTAGTTTTTTTGTTGTTGTACAATGCGTAATAAACAAAGCAGCTAAACTCCAGGGATATCCTACGGAGATCGGGATTGTTGTGATTTGCGTAGCGTTTTCTTTTGACAGTATGGGTACTTTTTCATTCATCGGGAATGATTAAAAGGCTCCTCCCTCCCTGTTTCGTAGTAAACCGATAGTGTTTGTACGAGAAGTGGGTGGAGACTGGGGAAGTGTTTCTCGAGTTTTCTTCGTAGTTCTTAGGTAGGTACACATTTAACGTACCTGTAGACTAATTGCCTTCGTCAAGGGTGCTTACACAAGCTTTCAAGAGGGGTTTGGTTCCTCAGTTGTAAGCTGGGAATGTTCCTCAATGGGTGGCCCAGAGAGGGCTGTATCTGTAAGCTCCGCCCAGTTGTCCAGTCTTGTCGCCGTATCGGTCAAGAGGCGCTTTTGTGTACAAATCGCAACATTGCCGTTCTCCTTGTCGTCTCTCTAATGACCAGCCTTTGATCATATGATAAATGTGCGTATTGATTGATGATGAAACGGTATTTCCGGTGCTACTTTCTCGAAAATTCTTCTATGTGTATCATATGTACGTTGAACTATTTAAGGGAAATTTTAGAAGCTTTACATTGAAAGCAATGTGAGGAAGTGACAAAAGTGCGATGGGAAGTGCTCTGAAAGATCTGGGTAAGCGTTCGAATTGTCCTTTTTTGTTTTATTTCGAATTTTTATACTTTTACTTTTTTTCGAATTCGAAGCCACTGTAGTTTTCTGTGTATCCAGCACGAATCGTGCTGTAATCGCTGAGTGCCGTCATCGCAATTAGCCTCCTTGAGTGTCTGAAGCGTTTTGTTGGCATTCTCATGTACAACATTCCATTGTCATGCACTTTGAGGGTTTACTGATCGCACGCTCGTTCCTCAACTAATTGCAAGTTGTACGATGAAGGCAGCTGGGTGATTAAGTGAGAGTTTTTAGGGCGGTGTACATGCTTGTTCTGATAAAAGTAGGAGTATTTTCAGGGCGAATTAAATTGTTATTTGATGTCTTCTATTGAAATGCCCCACAGGAATCGTAAATGTTGTACATGGGCTCTTATATCGCCTATCATTGCGAATGACCGTCTGCCACCAACCTGAAATTCATCAAATGCCATGATACAGTCTGCATTGCATAATCCTTTCAATTGCGCCTTTGGCTTGCTTCTGATCGAACTGGTCGACATGTGGATTATCGGGGGTAATCCTCTTATATGAGTTTTAAAAACTCGTATTACGCAGATGCTGGCTGGTTTGAGATCGAGGGCAGTTTCGAGAGTGCAATCGAAAGGGGTGATTACCTGACGGTATCGAGCGATTCCACGGGATGGTAGATGGTCGGATAATGGGAGACAACCACCCCTAACTCAGTCAGAACACAGAAAACATGGTCTTTTCCGCCTTTTATTGGTTCAACCTGTTAATGATAGTCATATGATAAGACACGGGTGTAAAACATTGAAATTGAGCGTGCCGCCGTGATCGTCGAATTACACCCGATAGCCATGCTTCCAGAAGCAGTAGGTTTTCATCCGGTTTTTGGGAAGGTTTTCTACTCTTCTCGTAAAATACAAAAAATTGCACACAAAAACAGGATTTTCTGAGGCTTTTACTTCTGTTTGTTTACTTTTTTTTGCATGTGGCACCACTCATAATAACTTGAACATGGATTTTTTCGTTCCCTTTTCTCTTTATCTCTGAATTTCTTTGTTCCCTTTCATTTTTTATGTATTTATACTTTTTTTTCTAATTTCCTATTTGTTCTTTAAGTTGCTCGTTGTGGTAAATACATCAGGTTACTTTACTATTTGTTTTCATGTTGTCAATACTCTAGGTTTCATGACTTTCAGCCTGGCCAGGCAGATCAGTTCATATTTTGCTTTTTACAGTAAGAACACTAATTTCATCCCCAAGTTTTCGAAGCGTAGCTAATCTGAGGAGAGGTCAGTCTTCTGCTTTTTAGTCATCGAGGCTGTCATATCATGTTAGATTTAAAAATTATTCCTAAGATTGCCATTTTCCAAGGTCGAAATCAAGTATTACTGCAAGTGCTAGAAAAAGCAGAACCTTGTTATATCTATCCAAATGAAGGATTCCGAAGGAAGTTGGGCTATTTGTGAAAAAAAAAGCGCCCCAGTTAATTCTAGTGAAATGGACGGAACTTTCTCGAAGGAGTAGTTACAGATACCTTCGTTGCTTCGGTAAGCGGCAGGACTCCTATTAACCTTTGATTTCTTCAAACCATGTGAACTTTGTAATAATCCTAGTGGTCTGACGTAATCTCAAAAGTTTATCGAAATTGTTTACTTGTCGAATAATTCGAGCCATATATTCGAGTTCCATCACAAATCACATTTATATAAATCTTAATATTGACTTGCAGGGTTAGCCCTTGTACCTTTCACGGGTTTAATGTCATAGATAGCTATGCTGCCGATTTGCTAGCTGAAAGGTTTGATTGGACTGGAGAGGTTAGATCTTAAGATCACAGATGTAGTATGGAATTTCCTTGCGAATTCTCCCACTTTGTCAACAGCGTAAAATAACGGGTCGGATGTTTTTTTTTTCTTGACGTTAGGGAAAAGTTTCGAAAAAGGATATAGTTGGGGAAATTTAGAGCGATAATTATTTCCACATAAGAGATTTATAAAATCTCTTTTTCTTAGTGCACTCTCCTTTCTTTAGAAAGAAGGTTTTTCGAATGGTTCTTTTTGTTGATGAACTTGCTGGTTTCTTACATTCTGCCACTTCATTTGGTTGCTAGCTTCCTCTTGAGCATCTTTTCTTTTCTTTGTTTAGGTTCACAGTGCCAAATTTGTAAAACCGAATCTTCAAACACCGTGGAGCTGCAGAACTGGGATAATGAGAGAAAATGTTCCGGAAATTGGGAAGAGCAAAGAGTAAATTGGTTGTTCTGATTATTTTTTCATAATAAGCCATGCACAAGACTCTCTCAGAAAGCTGGGATCTTCCAATTCTCAATGACCATGCATTTTTGATAGGGATAGCCGTGGATAGAAATTTGTTACAACTTAATTGGCTCGTTTGTAACTAGAGGGCGCGATAAGGGCGATCTGATCTTGCCTATTCGTTGGAGTAGCCACTGCCCCACCGTATCGGAGTCATACTATTACATATTACATCAGTACTATGAGGATACCCTCCGCTAATTTCTAATGCTGATCGCAGAAAAAAAGGTAGGCGTTTCATCGGATCGGTCGACCGGTTTTGCCCGCATGTGTTACCTACAATTAGGGTATTACACGATTACGGAAAATGCTGTTTTTCAATTGATTCGAAGCCGTTGGGGGCTGAAAATCGAAATTGGACTGGTTTTGAGTAGGACAAGCCGGTACGGTTTTTCTTAGTGAACCTCAATTCATTAATGCGATTTGAAAAGTGTAACCATAGAGGAGCAAAAGTAAATGACAGTATGAACGCAGAAAAAAATTGAGAACTGAAATCCTGGAGAAGTGGTTGGTCTGGGAAGGGCGCATAAGGCCTGGAACGATGGTCTAGGGTGGGGGATTGGAATAAGAAAGATGGAAATATTTGTGGAAGTCGTAGGTTTGGTGGAATTCCATGTTCTATGTTTATGTTAAAAATTGTGACGTGTGATTTTTTTTAGTTTTTCGCGCAAAAACCTATAATTTTGATCGATGTCGATTACAAAAATTATACGCTTGAATGGATTATAGCGCGGTTCCTACCTACCTGAGTGCTTGGTAGTAGAATGACCATTCATTTCAATTTACTATATTCATATTCAGCTGATAAACTTGTATCTAACTACCTTTTCACTTTCGACCCTTTATTTTGGAAGAGGTAAACAACTCGTTGAAAACTAGTGCTTCTTTAAACTTCGCATTCCTCCTATGAAAGCATTTATGAGTATCTTCAACAAAAGAACAGCTTTCATTCCCTGGAGAGCAGCAGATATTCTTGGATATGCTTCCCAGATCCCGTTGTGAACTTGCGGCGGAAGTCTCAGAGACGTTTGTTAGCACAGCGCACACACACACACACATACACCACGTATGTAGGCGGCGGCTGGCGCTTCAACCGCCGGTGGTGAGCTTGGTTCTTCATTTGCGCCGCCCACATGCCCCATCGTCTCTTTCTTCCCTGATCTCATATAATCTGATCACGCCTGTTGTTTACGTATCGATTGTTCGCTTTTATAGCTTTTATAGGTGTCTTTTTTTGCGGCCTCTCCTACTCTAAGCTCATAGTTTTCTTGAGTTTTCTTGATATCACGCTCTGCTCTTTACCTGTGTTAGAAGAGAGGAGGTGAAAGGTTTCTAAATAGCAGTGGGGTCGTAGTGATTCTTTTGAAAATGGGAATCCAGAGATTTCTATCTTGTCAACATGATGCTTGAGAAGTAGTTCTTTCAAGCCATGTGGTGTGAGCCACAAATTGTTTTGATTTCGACCATTGCTATGTTTCATATTTATTAGATCTTCTGGCAGAGGTGGTATAGTGGCAATTGGCGCACTTCACACACGCATGGTCACGGGTTCGAATCTCGGGTCGCTAACCGCATAGACCAACCAAGTATTTTATCCCTGCGGGGCCGGTTAATTGGTCTCGGACTCGTCTGGGAGGATAAAAACATTGACTTCTACATCGGTTAGCCACCGCAACTCAGTATAGACCAAATACGTATTCAATACGCCACTACAATCTGATTGGGAGTCGGATGCGGGGCACATCCCTCAGATTGGATTGATTATCGCCCAAAGACATCCTTTTGTGGGACTTTATGAGCTCTTTAAAGACTGACGATGTTTCAGTTTCCTTTGAGATTTTCAATGTGGGTAGAAGGTAACGGCGGGGTGAGAAATATCGAAGGATTTGTTATCGCTCATTTAGTGTGAAGGTCAAATCTGCTCGGTTCCGCTCAGTCGAACTGACTGGGCGTTTGTCTTTCCGGGCGCTTTATCGGTATATCTTTCCCTGGACAACTTGGACTTCCATATCAACCGGCTCTTCGTAGTTATAATGACTAATGAGTGTACTTCGCTCTAGCCGCGTAGCAGCTGTGCCTCTTCTGAAAAGGCAGTCGCCGCCAGGTCTGACGAAACGCGGTTGCGTGGTTTCTTTGAAAAAAGTTTGTCAACAAAGCATTGCTCGCACTATAGAGCTTTATTCTTTATTCGTTATTTGAAAAAAAAAACGCGTGCGTATTTGAGGTGTCAGGTGTCACTCAGTGGCTGCGGATGTGGCGTTTGAGCAGCATTGTTTCGAGTTTTTCCTTTTCACAGCTGTTTTTGCCAAGACGAAACGATGACGTCCGTAATCGTTCCACTGGGTCGTAAAGAAAATTCTCTCCAGGCGGCGTTTTATTGTCGCCGTTGTAGTAAAACCTCTTCAGATCCATCATATTTTTTTTAGTGAAATCTGTTCCGATTGGTGGGGAGGAGGCCCGTTACACTGTCATGGGTTTTCTATCCGAATCCTGATCTTTGCATGGGATTTTGATATAATTAAAAATGACTTTGGGATTTTTGATGATTTCTTTCTTATTCGTCTATGAATACCTTGTGGTTTCTTCGAACATATGGCTCAATCAGTGCTTGAGGAGTAATATAAACAACTTGCTTTTAGCTCATTTCTGGAACGCGAATGAGTTACGTTGGCGTCCCATTTGAAAAGGCCCTCGTTTAGAACACTGCTTTGCTGATGGGAAGGTTTTTCTACGTTACATTTTCATCGAGGGCAAAGATAA